CTACAATGCTCTTATCTCTTAACGTCGAAGTACGTGTCGTTCTAGACAAATAACTACGTATTTATCGTAGTAAAAAGTTACGTCGCTACTTATTGGAAATTCGCAAATATCTTTTAGCTATTTCTGTGTGAGAGAGAGAGAGAGAGAGAGAGAGAGAGAGAGAGAGAGAGAGAGAATAATTTACATTATGTAAAGATAGATCGACGACGCAGAGAGATATTCTCATTTACATTTCAAAATCAAGATGCAATCTCGAAGAGAAATAAAAACACGTTAATATATTCACAGCTTGAGATCTTCATACGATGTACTGCCAGCAAGCGCAAACAGCGATTTTTTTTTAACTCATACCTGCGGCAATTCTTGCCATATTTGTACAATATCGACAACGAAAAGCGTGCAGAATAATTAATAAAAATGTTTACGTAATAAAGATACGGATTACAATTGAAAACTAACAAGTCAAAGTGATTTAAAGATTAAATGAAAAAATATCATAAAATTTTATCATGACATGCATAGCTAATATATCTTCTCTTCTTTACGAAAATTGCTAAAGGCTATATTTTAATGAGACACACACAAGTACAGCGAATAAAATACAATAGCGATATCTCCGTATCGCATTAACGATATTTGTCGTTAAATTATTAAAGAAAATACGGTAATCATAGCATGGTAAGGTCATTAAATATGCAATAATAAATGTTTCTACGTCAACTTTTCGGATAATCTGAAAAGCATTATCGTATCAGACTTGTTACTGTCATGTTATAAGTGACGTCTTCTTTATAATTAAAACGCTGACAAATGTTGACGCGATGTGCAAAACTTTCTATAGAATTCGGTGTTCGTGAATCCGGCGAATCCGCTCGAAATATAGGAAACTGAATGTGGAATTTAAATTATGCACACGCTGTGTCTTGCGACGCGCCGTTAAATACATTTAGCCGATTGCTCGCGCGCTTTATAGTGGCAGGAGTCCACGACGACGAGAGCAGTCGCCTTCGGCTTGCACGCGGCCATTATACCGGCTCTTCCGCATCATAAATTATAGCGGCTGGTACGCTCAGGCCGGAAGATTCGCAGGAAGCGGGCACGAAGCCGAAAACAACAGCGTGATCCACATTGCAATCGACCCGTGAAATGCATTTTCGCGAAATTACCAGCGGCCTGTGAATGAACACGGCGCGATGCGGCGCGCGACGCGACCGATTCGAAAATTCGTCCAAATCCTGGTTACATTGGACATACGCAATTACTTTTAATCAAACTGTCTGTTGTTTGCAGGCCACCGTGTGTCGATGCGGTCACTGAACGCACGACTTAACGGCATTCGACCCAGGCAGGCCCACAAGCTCTCTATCTCTCTCTCTCTCTCTTTGTGTGTCTATGTCCCTTTTTCTCTCTTGTTATTAACGCATCGCACATTTGTCCATTTGTGACTAATCGCACCGGCGAACAATAGCTGACGCAGTTACAGCATGAGCAAGGTCTCATTTTATTTCGATGACGCGGTTAAAAAATTGTTTCTTACGATGAGTAGATAAGAAAGTATGATGAAATAAAGACTGCTTCAAGAATCGCTTCCCAAGAAATCTGAATCAAAGAAAAACAGAACAATTGTTTCAAATCGCCTGACTAATCGAAGGTCTATTATTGCTTAGCGTTAATTTACATTTGGAGAATTATAACATATATTTAACATTTAATTATTCAAATACCTTTTTTCTAAAAAGAATCGAAATTATTCTACGTATGGCAAATTGAAATTTTGAACTGTAAAATATGCTTTTAATTAATTTAATTAAAATTAAAATTAAAATTTTATATAATTTTATTTACCTAAGGCAACGATTTCAATAAATCCGTTTAACATGTTTATTAGTTTAGCTTCCGTTGCTAACTCAGTATTAGACAAAAAGAATCAAAATAATGACATATTAAAATTTTAAACTAAACTAGGTTTTTAATTAAATTCATTTAATTATAATTATAATTATATAATTTTATATTTATCGAAGGCAGCGATTTTACATTCATTTAATATGTTTATTGTTTTAACTTCTGTGACTTGAGATTCAGCGTTAGACGATACCTTTTATGTAGCAGCTATCGCAATACACGATACGATACCCGGAAATGCCTAAAGCGATAATAGGTGCAAAGTTAAATTCATACGTAGAGACGATAAAATAGACGTCGCATAATGCTACATTTATCTATTACAATGTATCGTTTGTGTCTATTTTTGCTACGTTTTTGCGCAGAACATATGTGAATAGCGTGCATGGAAAATTTATCAAAGTAACGAAGCGAAGAGTGCGTGTTCGTAGCTTATACCTTATTCGAGACGATGAAAAAATATATGAATTACACGATTCTCCAACTACTCTTAGAAAATAACTTGATTATGTAAATACGTGGCCCTGACTTAACCAATCGCAAGGTCCGATCGCATATAATTTCACCGCACAATTACTTTTATCAACATGTAACTACGAAAAATTATAGGTCGCTTTTGCGAATACTGGAACGCCGCACTGAAAAGACGTAATTTTTACTCTGAACGTATTTTACCTTTACATTAACTTTGAAACGCAAATATATTCTCGAGTATGTATACCCTTTCAATATAGATTTTCGCAAAAAAGGTTTGTGCAGCTTTGCGTTTCATATCTTAATATAATTTTTAAAAATTGTAAGTATTCTTTAGAAATAATTTCTTTGTAAAAGCAAAGATTACACTACAAATCTAAGTGTGTAAAAAGTGACTACAATATATATGTATAATTAGGTTCCGTAAAAAAAATAACACGTTTAACACTTTATGGTTACACTTCAAAAAATCCACACAATGTTATTCTGGTTAACATAAAAAAAATTGTAAACGTGTTAACTTTGAAAAAATGAGTTTTATTACTTAAAAAAATATAACTTTTTAAATTTATAATATTTTCAAATGCAGTATTCGCCTAATCCTCTTGAGATGATTTATGCTCTGGTCATTTTAACTCACACTGACCATAAAGGGCTAATACATATTTTTTGTATGCAGTATAATCAGGGCTGGGCACATTTGAAATACAAATTGTATTTCAAATAGAATACAAAATGTATTTTGTACTTTGTATTTTAAGGTCATACGATGTATTTTGTATTTCAAATACAATTTCAATATATTTTGTATTTGAAATGTCAAAAATGATCCTTGATAATAATCCTTGAAGCAACGCGAACAGACTTAGACCCATTTTCACAATATATGGTTACTTAAAGATTAGAGGTTACCAACAGATTCATCAATGAAATTTATTCATGAATTTCTTGGTTACTTTTAATCTTTAGGTAACCATATATTGTGAAATCGGATCTTACTGGCTGCATTCAGAAACGTTAGGGTTACGACAGAAAACGAAATGCGCGTAACGAAATGTAACTGTCATAGTCGCGACTAGTCGGGAAAGTCCCGGGCATGCAAAAAAAATTTGGAAATATATTGTATTAAAAATTGTATTTTGTATTTAAAATAAAAAAATTTTTTAATATTGCATATTTTGTATTAAAAAACAAAACATTTTATATTTGAAATACAAATTTTGGACGTATTTTGTACTTGAAATACTAAAAAAAAAATACTTTATATTTAAAACAAAAAATTTTGAAATTTTTGTATTTCAAAATCAAAAGATTGAAAGTATTTTGTATTTTGTAATTAAAATACTCAGATTGCCAATATTTTGTATTTTGCATTTCAAATACTTTGATGATGTATTTTGCCCAGCCCTGAGTATAGTGTATACTTTTAAACGGAAAACCAATCACACATATATTTTGAAGAGCTACTTTTAATTTTTTACATACATGAGTTTTCAGTGTAATCTTTAAAACTAATGATTAAGTGATTACAGATTTTTGTTGCTTTGCATTTTCATATCTCAAAATAAGTTTTGAGAATTATGTGAATATAGTCTTTTAAAAACGATCTCTTATTTGTAAAAGCGAATTAATCTTGAAGATTAACATTTATAGTGTAGTGATACTGGAACTCGGCAGCAATTATTCGAAGTAATTTGTCACGTCTTCGCGGTTGTAAAAGTAGCTCGTGCGCGTGTCTCAGGGTTAAGCATCTCGTCAGGCAAGTCTGGTCTGGTTCCGAAGTTTCTCGACGGTTCATGTAACAGACTTCTTACGCGAAAGCGCGCAAGCATGGCAAGCGGTACACCGATGTGTGCGTAAGGCGGCCCGCGTGTACACATAAGCTTGTTGTGAGACGCACGATAATTATCGTGTTCCGCTGCGCTAGTTCGCCCGCCATCGTTGCACCGTGTGGTTTCTGTAATAATAATAATAATAATAACCCGCACATAATACACACGCAAGAGGATGTACGCACACACGATTACGCACGTATATACAGTTGCGTATACGCGTATCACCACCGCGTACACCACGTGCGTATGATAAGGATCCTCAGTGGGTAGGCAGCGAGCCGCCGCCGCCGCCTCCTCTGACCCGTTTTCATCAAGATTACACAATTTCTCAACGTCTCGGCCTAAACTTAAAACTGTTATTCGCGCCATTTATCTTCTCGATTTTTTTTTTTCTTGGAAAGTCTCGTGAGTAATGATTTTTCGAACTAAGCTGACGACAGGCACGATAACGTCCGCGGCGTTTACCCGGAACAAGAGTGTTACTCATGTATTATGTACTCGGTCTGGTACTTGTATAATTATCGGTATATGCGCAATTGCTCGTCGAGCGCTGTAAAAATCAAAGATACGATTGTTTGCGCACGCCGTACTTTATACTTATTATTCCGGTGGCGGTGTTGAATTATAAAGATCGCCTTTACCGAGAAAAGTCGCGACGTGACTCAAAATCGCGCGCCGCGGTCACGTGACGCTCACCACGTGACGACCAATCGGCACTGATTGGCGCAGCCGCGATCGGGGGGATCGCATATAGCCGCGGCGCGGACAAAAGCCGCGGGGCAAAGCGTCGGTGTTTTCCACTATCCGGTCCGGTCTGGCGAGTAACCTTGATCCTTTCGCGAGTCGTATGTGACAGCCGCCGTTCGGGTGGATCGGTTAGTGTCGATCGAGACATCGTCGAGGTAGCAAGCGATCCTTGGCAGTTTTACTAGTTGCCGACGTTCCCTGTGTACGACAGGATGAAAACGTTCCTACAAGTTCTTCTCGTTGCGGCGTGCTTCGTCGCCTGTACACGCAGTTTCCCTCGCAGTTCCCCAAGTGAGTGCGATATTATTCTTTTAAATTAACGAATTGCTTTTTTCCCTTGTTCGTACATCGCGGATATAAAGTTTGAATTTACGCGCGACGAGCTGTCGTCAGAAATTTACTGCTGACTTCAGCGTTTATCGTATTTAAAATACGTTATAAAATTTCTGTCAACTTTCTGATATAAATTTTTAGCCTTGTGTTGATTGCGGTGTACGTGATTATATTTCTTAATTAAGTTCTTGTCTCAAGAGTTCTCGCGAAGAAATCGTTCTGTATTATTCTCCTTAGCAAAGTATTTTCTCGTTTAATAATCACTCAATGCAAATACATTTGTTACAATTGAATCTGATTTAAGACAACTCTTTATGATTGTAACTTAGCTTTATAATTGCAACTTTTGAATTAAATAGTAATCGACATAATTATCCGTTATTTTCATTGATTAAATATTTTATGGAATGATATAATTACATACTGTCACACACACATAAATCTCTCTTAATTTAGAATTGCCGTTTAACCACGGTTTAGAGCTGCCATTCGTAATCCTCTCAAAGTAGTTTATTTATAACTATAAACCGGATTATTGAAGTTAAGTAATGGAATATTCTATTGTGCTATAATCGGCTCTTTCGATTCCATGGACGAAATGGCGCAGCTATATATGTTTCAAAATGCTATGTTGAATCAATAAAAGTCGAATGTGGTAAAAACGAATTTAAATTTAATACCGTACAGCGAATTAATAGTGAATATTTTCAAACACATTTCGTTCGTAAACCGAATAAGCAAATATTTCAGTTAGCCTGCAGATTCAGATTGCGCATTGACACATTTATTATATTTGACTTCTTGTCCTTTTTAAATAACCAGATAAGATAAGTGCATTCTGATATATTATATGCCAAACAATCTCAGAATTATATTAATTTTATATATTAAATTAATTTAAACGTTTTTACGCGAATGAATTATTGAATCTTTTCAAAAAAGGAGAGAATATAATAAATAAAGAAAATTCAAATCTTTTTACTCATTTTGCATTGTAATTACGATTGTAATCGTAATAATAAGTGATAAAAAAACGCAATCTACATTTTCACGCTTATTTTCCATACATCCGACGTTTATCGCAGCTCCGTTCGTTGCATTGAGCGATTCTTCGGGATTATTTGCATTCAGTTCACGACATTTATGCGTCGTTATAAGGCGAGACGGGTGCCCCCGACGGGCGAATATCGCGATTGAATGTCAGGTCACGAAGAAATCGTGGAAGCAGATAGCACGCTCGAACTACTTAAGGCCGTTGTTTACTCGATTACAACTCGATATGAAATTCACTTCCAGCATAGACTTTGCTAATTAGCATCGGACCCGTTTTTGCGAGACGGGAACTGCAGGAAGCTCGTTTAATTGGAGCTGCTTCGTCCCCAAGATAATTGTCCGAGCGAATTCCCGTCGAACTCCAATTTATTCCTCTTGATTTTAATGTAACTTTATCTCTCGGGCCGACATTTGTGTGTCTGAAACGTTTTCAACCATGCGGAAATCTTCACAAAAATAAGTCGATCTGACTTTCGGCAAATTGCGAATTTTGTCGCTAACTTAAGACTCTTCTTTACTAGAGTTGAGAATTGAATTATTACGTTTTACGTTATAATCATCGTTTAAACATCGATCTAACATGTTGATTTTTAAATACAGCAATTTTTAATATAATAATTTTTCAAATATTGAGTACAACAATCTTTTAAATAAAAACGACAGATATTTAAATTATTTAAATGAATATTATTTATTGTTTATGGAATTTTAATTGTTATACAATTTTTATACAATATTAATAATAAACTTTTACCTCGGCTTTGTTACTTTTGTGCAGTACATTTAGGAATGTGAACGCACGTTCGTTTTCGCATCTGTTTAAAAATATCGTTTATGATTTTTGCGACGCGAGCAGCTCCGCGTCTAAAACAGATTAACGAGTTTGCATTCGAATAATTGTACATGCATAAATGCATGCCGCGTTATTGCGGAGAGCAACATTTGTAAAACAGTCTCGGAACTTTGTGCATATTCGTTGAAGTACCAAACGATACGAATATTTTAACCAGAGGCATCGTGACACGCCACGCGTATTGCGTCATTATAGTACGCTCTAAATAACTTTGAGCGGAGTGAAACAACAATCGAAGCTTACAGATTGTTAATTATTGTTGCAAAAGATACCTGAGAAATACGCGTGGACGATAGTTCAGCCTTTGGAGGAGAACTTTCGTAATTGTTGAATCATTAGTGACCGGTCGTGGCAACGCAGGCGGCGGCGTACAATCGTACAATCAAATTTCTTTCGTCATGAGTGAACGTTACAGCGTCTGTTATTACTTGGGTGAGAAGTATGACGCCTCCGGCGAGGTGTTTCTCCTAACGTGATGCACCTGCCAGTTTTCATGCCGCGGAATTTCGCCGTTACGAGACGCGGTCTCCGCAGGAGAGAACGTCTGCTCTCATTACGCTCGCTGACAGTCGGGTGACAGCCGGATAATAATGTAATTTTTGAGACTTCCCCGGGACGGCGACTTGCCAACCAGCTACGAAAATCGAGTTTCGGTGAGTTTCGATCGTGGTGACGAAGCCTCGCGCTTCGTTCGTCCCGCAACCGGATAGATAGATATTAGGCGAGTTTGTAAGCATCGAACAACAACGCGAGAGTTCGTCACGGCGGTGTATAAGCAGATTGCGCTTCATCCTATTAAGAATACATAATCGTCGCTGCTGGGTAATCTTACTGTTCGGTAATCGCGCGTCGCCTTCAAGACGAGCCTGCGTAATCACCTGCAATCGTAAATCTCTTTCGTGCAACAAACATGACGTGTTTAGTATACCATTGCGAGCGCGGCGGGCTCTTTGCTCCACTCTGCGGTTCATTTGTGCGAATAATTGTACTTTATATAAAAATTCAAACGCAATAAAAGGAAACATATTTATGCTTGCTAATTAATTATATGTTACTATATTCAATTTATATATATTAAAGAGTTATATAAGATAGACACGGATAATGTCATAACTTTATATAAAATTACGTATAGACTTAAATCAGTATTCATAATTAGTTTTTATATTTAAGACCGTGTATTAAGTACAGTTTCGGGATGTCATAAGTTAATCACAAAGCCGTATTAGCATTTTAATACATTATTTAAAACGGTTTTACAATAAAAATATGAACTATATGAATACCTTAGATATACCATTTTATATTTAAAGGTGGCTTGGACAATGCACGCCAACTTTATGTACATTCGCTAAATACTGACCTACATTCGTACGGATAATTATGCATGTCATGTGTGTATATGTATGCGTTTAATATTTACTAATGTTGACGTACATTGACCATGTCATCTGAAGCCGCCTTAATCAGAGAGTTAATGCTCATCAATTTTACTCAATGTTACACGCTCGAAGCTTTCATAATGCTGATGTACCAACATGCCTTTCATCTCGTTACATCAATCGCGATTGTATCTATTAATAAGTATTTATTTTTTTTCATTCAGTACAATAGCGCGAGTCATCATCATATTACACACGCGAATTAATTCGCATTCGCATAAAAATGCGCCACGTAAATCACTCTCAGTCTGCACGACGCCAATTACAGCGGGAAAAAAGTCATGACTAATTACTTCCGTCACCTCGTTCGGTCTCCGAGTAGTTGATTCACGTAGCATCGCATATCTATTGCACAATCCGGTAATGTCATTCCTTCTTCCTATGTTCCGCATCGCGTTCGACGAGCCTCCCGTCGGCGTCGTCGGCCTCCCTTTCACCCGCTCGCTTTACACGTGCAATTGCACCGGTCGGTGCACGTGCATATATCATACTGTCCACGCATAGTATACATACAATGCGGATGTATGACGTACAGCGTACACGATAGCGCAGAATAATGATTACAGGGCAAAGAGTAATAATGTACTCTTGATCGCATACTTTTATGCCTCTTATTTTTGCTGTTAAGAAATTCTTTTTTCCCCTTGATTTATATAATTTTTATATTAAACCACAACCTCATCAAAACGTCGCTTTATAGGGCTGCCGCAGACAAAATTTCTGTAACAGTAACCTTAAGACGTGAACTTAAGCTGATGAGCCAATCAAGATACTGCTTTAAATCTACGTAATCTAACGGAAATATCAAGTAAACTTATCTATAAGGCGTTTCAACCGGATGAAATTCGCCTTATCGTGAGATGGATAAGTTTACTGTTATTTCCATTTCCGTTAGATTACGTAGATTGTAGATCTAAAGCAATATCCTGATTGGCTCATCGGCTTAAATTTATGTCTTACGATCACTGTTGCGGAATTTTGTGTGCGGCAGTCCTTATTGCTGCTGTATGTATGACTTACGTAGAACACAGAAGTCATAATAATATCATACGGATGTCATGACCTTATCATCATTTATAAGTTCACTTTAAATTATATAAATATGTATATCGTTTTTATCATTCCATATAGTAAAACACGGTCTTAATAATATCTTAGGACGTCATCTTGTCCTTATTTATTATTTATAAGTTTATTTTAAATTATATTATTTTTATTATTCCTGAGGTAGAAGATGGAATTATAATGATACTAAAGGTTATCATAATATTCTAGTCTTGTCATTTGTAAGGTCTTTTATAAATGACAAATGAGAAGTCATGATAAAGTCTTCTAATATCATTGACTTGTGTTCTATCTGAGGAATGATAAAAACGACATATCTATACAATGTAAGCATATAGGTACCTTTACTTTATATTTCGCTGAGAAAAATTGGAAAGAAACGACGGAAGACATTTCTACCGAGTATCATTATTTCGCTGTATCTCTCGTGACTCCATACGTGGAGTGTCCTTGTAGCTTAGTTTGTTGTGCACCTCCGTATCTGGAGGCGAAGTGCTGCCGCGGATTATGACCAACTCATATTATTTTCCTGTCGCGAACAGCCT